ATTAAAAGCGTCTTGAAGAGAGGTGAAGGCTTGGCTGAGGGAGGATGAACAGCAATAAATGATAGTGTCATCTGCATAATAATGGTGGGAGGCGTTTGACAGATCACTGCATAGATCGTTGATATATAAGGAGAAAAGAATGGGACCCAAGACAGAACCCTGTGGCACCCCTTTCACAACATCTAGGAAAGTAGAGGAGGATCCGGCTACATGGACAGACTGTGTTCTGTCAGTTAGATAGTTGGTGAACCAGGAGACTGCTAGTTTTGATAGACCAGAGTGTTTCAGGATGTTAGTCAATAGTCTGTGATCAACTGTATCAAATGCCTTGGATAGGTCTATAAATAGGGCAACACAGTATTGTTTGCTGTCCAGGGCATGTATGATGTCATTTAATACTTTGAGAACTGTAGTTACGGTACTACTGTTTTCTGAATCCTGACTGGAATTGTGATAAAATATTATTTGATTGTAGAAAAACAGTTAGCTGATCACAGACAAGTCTTTCGAACAGTTTAGCAAGAATACATAATTTAGACATTGGTCTGTAGTTGTTGACATTAGTTGGTTCACCCCCTTTTAGCAGAGGGAGAACATGAGCCGATTTCCAGATTTTGGGTATTGTATTTGTATTTAGACTGAGATTGAAAATACATGAAAGTGGTTCAGCAATGAAATCTGCAGCTAGTTTTAGGAAAAGTGGTTCTATGTTGTCAGGTCCTGCTGCTTTGCATGTGTCAAGAGTTTTTAGAGCATTTAGAACCTCACTGGGAGATATTGATACAAAGTCAAATCGGTTTGTGACCTGTTTGTCTAGCACATGCGGAGTTGGGGGTGGATTTTCATCAGTTTGGTCAGCAGATAACATTTCAGGATGCGTAGATTCGAACAGGGAGCCAGAGGATATAAAGTGTTCATTAAAACAGTTTAGAATTGATAATTTGTCTGACAGAATACCTGAGCTGGTCATAATGGAGCTGGGTAAATCAGTGGTGGTTGTCTGACCAGAATTTGATTTTACTGTTTGCCAAAACCTTTTTGGATCATTTAGATTTTTTGTGGATGCGTCCAGGTAGTAATTTGATTTTGCATTTCTAATTAGGGTTGTGCATTTGTTCCTAAGTTGTCGGAAGCTGAGCCAGTCATGTTCAGTTTTTGATTTTCTGGCCTTAGCCCAGGTAGTATCTCTTTTTTTGAGCAGATTTCCTATCTCGGTGGAAAACCAAGGATTTTTACGTCCCTTTATTCTGTATCTACGATATGGAGCATGTGTGTTGATTATGTTTTGAAAACCCTCGTTGAAGTAATATATGCATGCATGTCCAAAAAGGCAACTTGAGGTAAGTTTTATTAATGTTGGACAAGTTTTAAAGTTAGAATTAAATTCTGCTAACACAAAACATGTTTATTTTTATTCCTAGCTTTAAAGTGGAAATTAAAGTGATTAATTTAAGTGATTGTTTAAAGTTGTTTTATATTTTATAAGGTGCAGATATAAGATTTTTTTCTTCTTTCTGCACTCTTTTCATTCAATGTTTTCTTTTTGATGATTTTTTAAAAAATTTTGTTTAATTTAAATGAACGAATAAATGAATTAAATTAAATTAAATGTTAAATGGCTTCAAACATCTGCTACGTTCATGGCATAAACCAACAGACATGTTCCTGTTTTTAGTATTTTACATCACTTTATAATGTAGCTGTTTATGTTTTTAATATATATAATTTTCAAATCATATGTTTTTTATGATTGTCTACTGTTGTACTGATAAATATCTCCTGGAGGGTAAACTATATCTTGACTGCAAGTTTCAAACTGTGAAATCCTTTGTTTTCTACAACTGATAGTGGTTGGTCATTAATTATAATGAAGTTTAGCAACTTCTCTGTAAACATTTGAGCTCTGTGGTTTCAGCGACGTCTTCTTCTTGTTCAATGATTGAACAAGAAGAATCAAAAGAGCAGCGCCCCGCTGAAGCCATGGTGCTCGAATGTCCATCGTAAAACTAACTTTACTGCGGTTTAATGTGGCGCTATGGCTCTGCAGACATTGCACGTTGCTGTCTTGTTTTGTGGTGTTTAGTTTAAAATACTTCCACACAGCGGACATGTTTAAATGAAAAGTTTGTTAGCTGTTAGCCACAGTGCTGCTAACTCAGTCCTCACGTTGTAGATGGCTGCAAACTATGAACTGGATTTCCTGAATGTGAGACGGGTCTTATTACTCTGGATTCGTGAGACACGCCTCCGTTCAGGAAATCCATTTCATAGTTTGAAGCCAACATGCAGCACAACCACAGACATGCATGCATTGGAAATATCGGCAGGTGGATTGGAAAATCCGATTCGTAAATTTTGCTGGTATCGGAGGCCGATACCGATATTGGATCGGATCGGCCCCATCCCTACAAATAAACGCAAACTGGCAAGATGTAACTGCTCATTTTATAATGAAGCATAACGTCAATACTGAAGTAGTTCTGCTCAAGCATTATTGCATAGTATAGTCACCCACTTACCACTTTTATCTCAGTCCTGACCCTGCTCTGTGGATTTGGAGTTGTTCGGTGCCAGGGTGGATGGTGGCGGAGTCTCTGCTTGGTAGGACTTCAGAACATGTTGTGGGCTGTTCGTGGGTCGAGTGCCAAGAACAACATCTAGTAAAGGAAACTTGTCCTTCGTGTCTCCTGAACTACCATTTTCCCTGAGCATGTCACATACTTTAATGTATTGTTGGCAAAGTTTTTTTACTTTGTTCAGCTGTGCGATGGAATCCCAACTTCTCAATTTTCAAACTAATTATCCTGTAAACGTCACTGTTCTTGTGAGTTGTAACAAGTAACTGCAAAATATTTTCGTCTGACCAGACTTGTATGAGGGCCTTTATCTCCTCGTCACTCCACGTATGACCAAGAGCCATTTTCTCCCGCTAATGTTAACGCGTTTGTTTTGGTGGTATTTACCCAGAATGCCCTGCGTTGTAGTCCATTTCCTGTTCTCATTGTAGTTCTACTTACTGCTGGCGGAGCGGTGCCCGGTCTGATTGCATTCACACTGTACTCGAACCGTGCTAGAGTTTCCTTCTACTGGACCGAGACCTAGGTTTTAGGTCGTTTTCACACTAGATAGTCCGGTAGACTCGGTTCGGTTCGGGACCAATATTCATGAGCTTTTGTTTACATTTGAGCTGGTGAGTTTGCATTCACACTGCACTGTGCAGTCGAGTCAACCTGTTGAACCAACCTATTCCCCCGCTCGCCTGTGGGGGAGCTGCACCAAGAACTACTGAAAGAAACGACACAAAAACCTCTGAAGACACGTCTTCTTCTTCTTCTGTAAATAAAAATAAAATGAAGTGGCATCAAGTTTTAGCAGTTTTAGGAGTTATATTTTGTCATTTTTCAAAAATGGACTTAGCATGAGCAGAAGATGAGACAGAAGACCATGGAGAATGTTGTTTTCCCACACAAGGCAGCTGACGGCTCCATATAAGGTCAGAGAAATGCGTGTTTGTTTACCCTGTGGAGCGGTCCGGTCTGTTTACATTCACAATGCACTCGAACCGCGCTGGAGTTCGTTTCTACCGGACCGAGACCTAGGTTTTAGCCCGGGCCAGAGTTCGCCTTTTTGTTCCATGACTGAGTTTGATGGCGCGTTCACACCTCCCTAAACGAGCCGGACTTTCTAAGAAAACGAGCTAGAGTTTGATTAAAGTGGACTAAACAGGGCTAGTGTGAATGCACCCTTAGACCGGGCCAGAGTTAGTTTTTTTGGTCCTTGACAGAGTTCGATGGCGTGTTCACACCTCCCCAAATGAACCGGACTTCCTAGGCAAACGGGCTAGAGTTCGGGACAACAGGGCTGGTGTGAATGCACCCTAAAAGTTGCAGGACACCAGCCCTCGAGGCCTGGAGTTTGACACCCCTGCGTAAGTGAACTGGCTTACACTCATTCCAAATGTGTGAATTCTTTATTTGAATTTGATTTAGATGCACATTTTAAATTTCCTTTTGCCTTATTACTTATTTTTTGTGTTTGTCAAAAGCTGAAGAACTGTATTATTATGTTTTAATGTGTTTAACTTACTGTTGGATGTAGCAGTAGTTATTATTATAATTGGAGGGTACCAGAAAGTGGAGTCTAGATCTGTTGAGCTATACATTCTTAGCTTTCGCCACACAGTTTTGAGCAGAAACAGAGGGAAGTTTATCATGTGCTCATTTATTTTTTTTAAACTCCCCTTTTCAATGTTTTTACACAGTTATGATTAATCTCAGGAATAATGAAGTGTGTATGTCAGGGGATTTTTGGTCAAGATTTATGGATGTTTATCACTAACTAATGTTAACGTAATGTTGAACTATATGTTTTAGTTACCAGAGAGTTGTTCTTCTTTCTCAGAGAGGAGCCTGCAAGTGCAGCTGAGGTCATCATTGACTGTAAGCTGTGATAGCTGATAAGCTTACTATAAAAACAATTCTCACACACTGCCTGGTGCAGACTCTCACGACCAGGCTCCAATGATGTAGAGCTTTAATGCATCTATGTAAACCTGTAAGTGAAAGTCTGCACTTGCAAGTAAAAACCAGTTAAAATATCTTCTCGCGTCCTCAAGTGTGGCTTCTTTCAGTAAATAAGATGAATAGAGGATATCTCTCCAACAGTGTACTTTCTTAATATTTGACTAAAAAGCTAAAAACATATAATAAAGTAAACACTCTTTGAGTACATTTTGCCTGCAGCCTTTCCTGCCAGTAATAAAGATGATGTAGAAAATGAAAGTGTTGTGTTGGAGTTGACTCACCTGTTTCAGCTCAGGATCTGTAAAAGGAGTTATTGTTTGGTTTAAAGTCAATTAGCTGTGGGGCTCAGAACTGACTGGACTTAAAATGTTACAGTTGTAGATGTACGTTTTATTAATGTTGATCCAGAGGTTTATGAACTATTTTGATAACAAAGCAACAGTTAAAAATGCACGCACACACACAGACGATTGCCCACATTTGATCTTTAATTAACTCAAACAAAGAAAGTGGTTGAATATCTAGCAGGAACAGGTCAAACCAGTAAATTGTTCTTTGTGTTTGGAGAGTTTCAGATAACTTATCCTGTGCAGATGAAGCAGGAAATAATATTTTATTTGTACAAGAAATAAGCACATTTGATAAAGCCAGACAAAAAGTAAAGCAGTTACATTTTCAGGCTTTGATGGTTTAATATATTTGACTGAACTGCAGCTGATACATTACAACAGAAAACTGCAGGTACAGAAAACAAGTAGATGGGTAGATGTTAGAAGAATGACGTTCTAGCAGAGGAAGGACTCAGCTGACGGTAATGAAGCAATGGAGGTAAATACCAAAATAGTACCGGAACCGGTTTTCTTCATACCACAGAAACACCTTTGCAGTGATTTGTGTGGCCTGCCATGGGATTATTGTGACAGAAATGCTACAGACTGAGATGGTATCTGTGATTTAGCTACATCACCTCAGCGGTCAGAGAATAACAAACATTTGTATAGGGGCAAAGACGCAGGGCCGCACTATTTATGCACCATAAAGCCATATTTCATTGTGGTGAGTCACAGCGAAATACGACTCGTAGAAGGCTGCAGAGAAAAATTGAGGATCAAAAGTTATCCCTGTTTTAGTCAAGACCTCTTTAAGAATTTCTGCATTTTGCTGACCAGCACTGAGAGTTGGGACTCCATCAAAACTCCTAAAAACAGAGACAAAGAAATGGTTAACTTGATGTCTGTTGAAGTCAAAAACTGTCACGTTAAAGTTTATAATGTTACGATCTTATATCTCTACACACATTCTGACCTAAAATATCTAGTTAGAGGCAACGTGGGCTACTTTTATTACAGATTTAGGTTGTAACAAGAAAACAGTGTGTTAAAATGTAAATGAGGTCATGTCTTACCTGACATAGACTGTGGAAGCGTCTTTGTGCTCTATTGTGACAGACGTATCTAAGACCTTTACGTCCAAACCAGGAGGGAGAAACCAGGACAAGGATATAAGATCAGAACCTCCAACCTTTCTCATGGTGATCAGTGCAGGCCAGGAGTCAGGCATCTTTTGACCTGGAATAAAGAAAAATGCTCCTGGTTATTTAGGTCTTTTGCCACTTGATCCTTTGAGGAGAATTTTGAGAAGCTAATGAATGAAGAGAACAAAAGAGAAGAGTAGAGGTCATAGAAACTGTGGACCAGGGAGTGGGAAAGATTAATGAGGGTGAAGTCCAGAAATCTCTCAAAAGAATGAAGAAGGGGGAGGCAGTAGGAGCTGATGACATACCAGTGGAGGTTTGAAAATGTCTTGGAGAGATGGTAATGAGGTTTTTGACTCAAATATTCAATGCCATATTCGAGGATGATACAATGCCTGAGGATTGGAGAAGTGTGCTGGTGCCCATTTTTAAGAACAAGGGTGATGTACAGAGTTGTAGCAACTACAGGGGAATTAAGTTGAGGAGTCACACAATGAAGATCTGGGAGAGAGTTGTGGAAGCTAGACTTAGATGAGAGGTGACTATTTGTGAGCAGCAGTATGGTTTCATGCCAAGAAAGAGCACCATAGATGCCATATTTACTTTGAGGATGCTGGTAGAGAAGTACAGAGAGGGTCAGACAGAACTCCATCGTCTCTTTGTGGATTTAGAAAAAGCATTTGACAGGGTGCCGAGGAAGGAGATGTGGTGTTACATGAGGAAATCTGGAGTGGCAGAAAAGTATGTTAGACTGGTACATGACATGTATGAGGACATCAGGACAGTGATGAGATGTGCTGTAGGAGTGACAGATAACTTCAAGGTAAAGGTGGGGATGAATCAAGGATCAGCTCTGAGCCCCTTCTTGTTTGCTCTGGTAATGGACCAACTAACAGATGAGGTCAGGCAGGAATCCACGTAGACTATGATGTTTGCAGATGACATGATATGTGGTGAGAACAGGGAACAGGTGGAAGAGAACTTTGAGAGGTGGAGGTATGCACTTGAAAGAAGATGAATGAAAGTCAGTCGTAGTAACACAGAGTAGATGTGTGTGAATGAGAGGGAGGCTGGTGGAACAGTGAGGCTACAAGGAGCAGAGGTCACAAAGACGCAGGACTTCAAGTACTTGGGGTCCACTGTCCAGGAAAATGGGGAGAGTGGTAAAGAGGAGAAAAAGAGCATCCATGCAGGATGGAGTAAATGGAGAAAAGTTTCAGGAGTGATTTACGACCAGAAGGTGTCAGCAAAGGTCAAAGTAAAAGTTTACAAGACGGTAAGACCAGCTATATTGTATGGTCTGGAGACATGGACAAAAAGACAGGAGAAAGAACTGGAAGTGGGAGAATTGAAGTTGTTGAGGTTCTCCTTAGTAGTGACAAAGATGGATAAGATTAGGAATGAGAACATCAGAGATACAGCACAGGTTGAACAACTGGGTGATAAAGTTAGAGAGGCCAGACTGATGGTTTGGGCATGTCCAGAGGAGGGACAGAGGGACAGTGGGTATACTGATAGAAGGATGTTAGAAATGCAGTTGTCGTTGCACATCATTATTTCATTATAATTTTATTTTTCTCTCTTTGGAAAAAGGCGAGATGAATAAGATCATGTTTGTGTTTGATATAAATGTTAAATCTGTCTCTGCGTATTACATTATATTTTTATAAATGTTGATAATAATGATGTTAAATATTAGGAAACTAATACCCATTACACCTATTTTAGTTGACTGAACTTTTTTGAAGTAGATTTAGTCAACCAAAATATATTTACTAAAACAAAAATGACTGTAAATTAAATTTGAGCTAAAACTAAAATGCATTTTTGTCAAAAGAATAAAACTAATTAAATTTA